TAATGAAACGCATAACGGAGAAGTTATTTTTTAAATAATTGTTAAACTTTTTTCGTTAAAAATGTACTTACTATGATTTTTGAGGCACTTTAGAAGGTCACCTTTTTGTGCTTTACAGGTGATGTTTTTTTGAGTTCTAAGTTAGGCTGAAGGTACTTTTTTGTTAAACATTGTGATAATTAGCGATTTATTTTAATACAGAAGTTAATTGCTAATTTATTTAAAGTTTTGCGGGATCCCGCAAATACCGGGATCCCGCGGGATTAACATCTAACAATCCCGCAAATACCGGGATTGAGATTTTGCTGCGGGATTGCATTCCCTAGCGGCCAGTAAAGTGACAAGCGTCATAGGAAACTTAGTCTGCTCTGCCTGTGTCATGGAAACTAAAATTTCCTGACAGAAAGTAGGCATGAAAATGAAGGTTTCAGGACGATTATGGGTAAAAAAATTATGGCGCAAATTCTACATAATTCAATTTTCTACAATAAATTCGAGTTATCATATTCGTGAAGGGAATTTTTCTTAAATGCTTTTAAAGTCGAAGGGACGCGTTTGAAGTTTTGACTCCACCATCAGTAATATCTCGTCGGGGGTTACCATATTCCCTCTGTCGGTACGGTACCCACCTCCAACGTCCCGTTCACCCGCAATTAGAGTTTGCTGTTTTGACTTCCCCATCAGTAAGATATTATCGGGGGTTACCACATTCTCTTTGTCCCGTTCTCTCGCAATTCGCATTTTGGTGGATTTCGTTAAAAACCCGGCACAAAATAGTACTCAATTTTTGGGTACTTCTCATAGCTCAAGCTTCTATTCGTGACACAAGAAAGAGAAACAGCGATTCGAGCTTTTGGGCGCCCAAAGTCGGCTACTCCTCGAAGCGCGCCGTGCAAAAAGTGGTTCATTTCGCCCATAGAAAAAAACAAAATTCCGCCACGCAAAAGTTGTGCGTGTTGGCGAGATCTTTCCGACGACACCTATTTCAAAACAATCAGATAAAAACTGTAGAAGAAGATAGAAAAAAACTGAAAAATTTCCAGGATAGTATAACACGTTCGGGGATGGCACCCAGATATCACCGACCCCACATCTTGTAGCCCCGTCCCTAAAGTTGTTAACTACACGGCCGCGATAGGTACCTGCGTACAACTCCTCGTCTTTTTACAAGCGTTCTTCTACGGGCTCCCATTTACTGCCAGCCAGCCAAAATGGGATTAAATGCTATCTTTTTACAAATAAATTTGCAAAAATGCGCTAAAAACGGATCAAATGCATGGAATAGATGGCTATAATACGCAACCAACTATACACGAAATCTTTTTAGCGCATTTCCACAAAAATAAGAAACAAGTTAAAAAGTAATCGTGAACGATTTACAAAAAGCGCAATTCCACTTGCATTCATTTCCCATTTAGCAACTTCTGTAAAAATCGTAAAAATCCGGCCACAAATATGAAAGATAGCGTTGCACATGTGCAATCCATTTTTGACGTTCTACTTCAATTTCTGTTTATAAGAAGAATTTCATGGCAATGCTTTTCTAAATACGAAAGTTGGAATTGCGCATGCGCAAACCTCAATTTTGAAAGTAACGTTATAGTCCAGTCAAATTACCTTTAAAAGTAGTATAAACTGGATGTTGTAATTTCACTCAACGAAACCAAGTGTATCCTATGTAAAAAATCCGCTGAATCGGAAAATCATAGTAACCGTGGCCGGAAACTCCCGGAACATTGTTATTAACAAAAAACGAAGAAAAATGGAGGAAATGTCGTGTTTTTTCGCATTTGACTTCGAATATCTGGTTAACTATTGCTCTGAGGGCATTTCGGAATTCGAAGAATTTTCTTAGTTAGCAAATGGAATAACTCCCGCAGTATAACAACAAATATAACTCTATAATAAGCGAATGGAAAGCTCTCTGAAAAACGTACATTAAAAAAAATACGTCCAAATCCGATTAATAGTTCACGAGAAATCAGCTTTTGACTTTGAAGCCAGTTTTCGAAACAACCAAAAATGATTTTGCAAATCGGGTAGCACCGATCGATTCTTTACAGCGTGAACTTTTTTATGCTTCTATTTGACCAAAATGAATTCCGAGTGCCAAGGGCCGATTATAGAGTTAACTTTTTTGTTATATCTCATTTGTTAGTTAACTAAAAAAATTCCACAGTCCGTTGATTTGCAAAAATTATCGGGACAATTATTGGAAAAGATTGTTTTAGGGTTAAACTATGTATAAAAAAATTGGGAACGCTCTTGTAGTCAACATTTACAAACTGTTAATTTTAGAGATTCATTTTTTACATTTTGCCACAAAAAACAATAACAGTTGAAAATGAGCTTTCCGGACCAACTGTATCGTATAGAAAATTTTATTCTAAACAAGTTCACTTCTATTCATTCTTTCCCTCAGAGCAATAGCTAACGAGATATTCGAAGTAAAATGCGAAAAAACACGACATTTTCTCATTTTTTCTTCGTTTTTTGTTAATAACAATATGGAACATGTTTCCGGCCAGGGGGACTATGATTTTCGGATTCAGCTGATTTTTAGCATTGGAAATGCTTATGTTTTGTATGGGTATGAATTTACCAGTTTGCCGAGTAGAAAAAAAGACAGTGGTGTCGCGTCTAGTGTTGATTGTACCGTACTCGACTGCAATCGTTAGATTCAGGAAAAGTCGCGGATACTATCGATACGGTACTTACTTAACAATGCGCAAGGGTTTTGTTAATTCGAATTTAAAATTCTCGCACATCGCCCGTGATAGTATTACAAGCATGTTACGCAGCTTATTATTCAGAAAGTTTACGTTTGCGACATGAGCGAGCTTGCGAGCGAGTGGAGCAAGATTATTCCGTGTGAATAAGGGTTATTTATGGCTTTATGTTTATAGGTTATACATTTCCAATGTCTCCGATAGTTGCAAGGATTGCGAACTCTGTGAATTTTTTTACATAGGATACGCATGGTTGTGCCTATGTATCAAATTTCATTTAAATACTTTTATAAATAAAAAAATGTGCAATTCGGTTTATAAATGGTCGAGATGCGGAAGGGCACTGTGAATTTTGAATCGATTAGACCTAGGATTCGATTCAACTTTTGGCTATGCCCATATTGAATTTCATGCAATTCAGTTCATAACTAACGGAGATGTCAAAGCAATCGGACATTTCTAACCAAATTTATCGTTCACACGGACAGATAGAGGGACGGGCAGACAAAGGAACAGACGGACAGACCAACAGACAGACGACAGACAGCAATAGCTCTTAAGATAAAGAACTAGTAGCGTCTCAACGAACGAGCGGACGGACGGACAAAGTGGCCACAATAGCGCATTTTTTTAATTTTTCTGGAAATGCGCTATTGTGGCACCTTTGTTTGTCCGTCCGTCTGCTCCTTCGTTGAGACGCCACTAGTTCTTTATCTTAAGAGCTATTGTTCCACTTTTTTCGCTATTTGGTTCGTTATGGTGTCGAGGCTTGCACCAAGGAAGGAATTTTTTCTGTGTTTATTGCTAAAAAAGTTATTGTAAAAAAACCAACAAACCGTTTTTTACATGTTCCATAATTTTACACTTTTGCCGTTTATTAACGATCCTAGAGATCGTTTATAATTTTGTATTGCTGTCTCTCGCCTGTCTGTTGGTCTGTCCGTTTGTTCCTTTGTCTGTTCGTCCCTCTATCTGTCCGTGTGAACGATAACTTTGGTTAGATGTCCGATCGCTTTTACATCTCCGTTAGTTATGGACTGAATTGCATGAAATTCAATATGGGCATAGCTTTAGCCATATAATACGCAATGACAAAAATTGAGTCGAATGGATTCAAATTTCACAGGTGCCCTTTTCGCATCTCGGCCATTTATAAACCGAATTGCAAACTTTTTTATTTATAAAAGTATTTAAATGAAATTTGATGCATAGGCATTTGGAATAAAGGAAAATCTAACGCCAGTTTCAAAATTTGGTTTTGCGCATGCGCAGTGCCAGCTTTTTTAGTTATGGAAGTATTCTTATAAACTGAAATTAAAGTAGCATGTCAAAAATAGATTGCACATGCGCAACTACGCTATCTTTCATATTTGTGGTCGGATTTTTACGATTTTAACAGAAGTTGCTTCTTACAAATGGGAAATGAATGCAAGTGGAAATGCGCTTTTTGTAAATCGTTTACGATTACTTTTTAACTTTTGTAAATCGTTTACGGTAGTATGCTATATTTATCTATGTTTTCTTTCTTGTTAGATGATTAATGGGGAGGGATGGAGCTCTTCACACTGGCATATATTCAAAATCTACACTATACAATGCAACATGAATCAAGCCCTTAGAGAATTTCTCCGAAATATTGCATTTTCCCTTTTTAGGTAGGTTCCTCCAACATTTTCAAGATATTCACAATTACGTTTTTACAGCGCCGGTAGATTTTTCTCTAGACGTTTTTTCTGCCCTTTGGGAATACCTTTTCCGACACTCCGTTCTGTGGATATTTGCACTAATAGTTTTGACATCAACATTTGATATGTCATTTTGCCTTTGTGAGTATCCTCCTCCGATGATGAGTCAGAAAGAAGGGCGGTAGTTGGTAGAAACAGTTACTTTTATTGAGACCTTTAATCAGAATGCCATGAAAGATAAAATTGCTTTTGCGTTTGGAACTTGAGTGTTGAGTATTTTACATCGACGTCACTCGTCCCGGTTAGCATGATTCGCTTTATGTTGGCAAAATAGAATTTACACAAACTATATTCTTCAATAATATCTTTGAATATAAAATTTATTCAAAGATAATATTATGTAGTCGGAACATTGTGAAATTGAAATCCATGGGGCGTAATATGGCGTGTGGTATCAAATTTCTAAGTTCTGCACATACATTTCGTGCTTGTTTTGTATATCAAATGAAATGTTAATGCGTGTGTACATTTATGGTGTAAGTACGGTTTAGTTATAGGTTACCGTTAGATCTAGCGAGGTTTACCGTGAAATGATTAGTGCTTCGCGATGATTAGAAGTGTAGCCAATTGTAGTGTTTACCTAACTTTCAGTAATTTTATTTACTTTGCACGTTCATGCTCAAACGCCTTATTCTGTACTTAGTACGCACGGCTGCTTTCGCGTGTTAGATTCTTGTAAGTGCACAATGTTTGCATTCTTAAATGCATCCCTGACTGAAACTACTCTTCTGTAAAGCATCTTGTGTAGGCGAATTTTTATGGAAATGGTTTAGTTTTATTTTTTTGTAACAGCGATTTTGTGGAGAAATAATTTAATCATTACAATCCTTGCTTCTTAGGTATTTTCTCCATTCACTCTAATTAAGTAGTGCTCGATTGTGCACCAATTTCACACATTTTTAAAAGAGCCCATTCTGGTTCTGTTGTTCCTGTTATATTTGATGCTCGTAATGGTGTTAGTTTCGTAGTTGTTGCCGGTAATTATAGTTCCGTGGTTGATTTAGTTTTGAAGTGAAATTCACAAAGCACATAACAAGCCATATGAACTGGTAATTTATCCACTGGTACATAAATGAGGCAGAAGGCAATTAGAAATTAGTATATATGTTTCAAAAGCCGTTCAAGGATTAGAAAAACAACACGTAACTTGAGACTGCAGTGTATCTCAGCTGTTTTTAAGGATAACGACTTGCGGTAGTTGGGACCCTTTGTCATTTTTCTTGAGAAACTTTTAATACCACGAGCATAATCAGTGTCGTTACGCTACTAATAACACAAAAAAGTAAATGCTCACAAACGATGTAAAAAAGCACATTTCCATAATAAAAAAATACTTTTTAACAGATTCTCAAAATTAGTTAGATCTGCATTTGAAAATGATCACCGATAACTTTTACCTAGGTTTACATTATAAAATTCTTCAGACTTTGTTGCGGAAATTTGAAGTTTCTACCCCATCTATGGATAAATCTTATCCTGACTTGTAGTGACGTTCCGTTCTCGAGATGTTCGTATTTGATCTCACCTACAAATTACGAGTACTAAGGTTGTTGCCCAATAATAAAAATGTGTAATGGGCGTCCAGGTGCAAATTTGGAGAAAATCTTTCCTCACTGCAAATCTGATATATTTATCTCTATAAAATGTTGGGTAGATTTTCCTTCGACGCTTTTGGCCTACCATTTCCACTTGCACTAGACCCCGACAATATAAAAGTTTCGAAGAAAGTTAATGAGATGTTGATGTTAGTGTCAGGTATCACACGCTTCCAGTTTTCCCTTCGTCAAGTTCCTCCGCGCTCAGTTTTCATGGCGCCCAGCTGTCACCGCCATTAGCCATTAGCCATAGCCAGGATCCGCGTCCATGTGGTACTAGCTCGGACATGAAAGTCTCTTTAGCGGCTGTTTCAAATATATCATGCAAACTAAGTACTACAAGAAATAGAATTGAATGAATTAAACAATTACCGACTAAATTTACAATAAGAAACGAACATTAAAAATAGAAATACAACAAATTTTTCCATGCTATGTCATTTGGAGTTAAAAAATTCCCAGGTCTTGTGATATAATTTGAATTACGCTATATACAGGATGTTTCGACGACCATTTCCAATATTCCGACCGAAATTACGTTATCAACACGTATTTTACACTACAATGTGGTTCGCTCTCGTTTTCGTAATTGTTTCAAGCTATGCGGTTTGATTACATTTGTTGTTTAAAATTCAATTTTTCCCTAATTACAGAACATTTTAAACGTTCGCACCCCATAACAAAAGTCGCTATGCAGACACGAATATACAACGAAATGACGTCTTTATTTCAAAGTAAATTAAGCAAGTTCATATAACTTGAGGAGTCCACCACTACCAGAGAAGTGACTAGTTGATTAGAATACGTAAACACCCTTTACCAGAGGTAGATAGTTAAGGCTTTGAGAATACTAATGAACGTGTAAATAACAGTGTATAGGGTCGCTACTTGGCGCGTCTTCGAAGGCTTCGGGAATTATATTTTATACACGTAAACTGTAAGGAAGTCCGGACAAGACTATTTTATGTAAAACCTCGCGCATAGACGACAGCGGACAGTGTACCGTGGATCAAAGTGAAAGTGAAAAAATTCGGTCAAAAATGTTGAAGTTTTGTACACCTCAGGGAAAACGTCGAGATTATATGGTATGTACCTACTTAGTTTTAATATCTATATACAGTTCACGGCGACTACTATTGCTGGATACATAATATCGCGAATTATTTCAAGTAAGGCCGACAATTTTGTTTCGCTTCGTATATTAAAGTAGGTTTTACCAAACAATTCCTCATGGAATAATTATTGGGGAAAGGCCATCGACACCTATTGAATGAAGAAAAAAAGAATCAATATCATAAATTTGAAATTCTTCATAAAATATTTTACAGTAGACTGCTTAAAGGCAGCGCTTTTATTAGTTTCTTTTATAGGTCAAAAGCCAGTAAACTCGGGGTGTACCTAATAAAGCTCCGGTGAAGAACGTAAGAAACTTATTATACATAGGTCCGCTACTAGATTTTATAAATTAGTTTTAAAGCAACAAAAAAAAAGTATTAGCGTGTGAGAATTGATCCGTTTAATTATGAAGCTTTTGTCGTCCATTTGGTAAATATGAATACAATCAAACGTTTCCATTAGTTTAATTGTTAATTTCATATCAGAAATAATTGGAAACAAGTTGCGTGTATTTTAATCCTCTTTTTCGTCGTTCCTTTACCTCCGCTTTAGTAGTCTAATCATGTCTCCATTGCACTGAGCCAGTAGTGACCATTTCACTGTTTTCTGATGATAACAATAACACCAACGAACGCGAAATAACTACCCTGCAGACTTGAAACACATTCAAAGAGACCAACGAACTATAGAACTTGTAGAATTTTTTTGCCACACTCGCCAGTGTATGTAAAAATGATTTCAAACATTTTTTTGATATGGTCCTTTTAAACTGTATGCATGTGGTTGTTTCTTGTGAACACGATAACTCATAAACGCCTAAACCGATTTTGTTGAAATTTGGAACGTATATAGGTTGGCATAGGGAATCGCAAACGTCCTATTTTGGTTTCGCTCCGTTACCATCTTCAGGGTTTTTGAGGGTGTTAAAAGTTTAAAGGGCCATAACCGCTTAAAGAAAATGTTTGTAATTTTTTTCGTAGATATACATTGACTAATGTGGCATAAAAAACTCTAAAAAAAATAAATCACAGATTTTTGTGTCTTTGTGTTTCAGAAGTTTTAAATTGAAAAGTTAAATAACTCGTATTTGCGTTATAATTTTTTTTAAATTTGTAGTTTTCTGGAAAAGTAAGCCGCATAGTGAAAAATGTTAAATACAAAAAAAATGTCTTGATGAGTTGGACAAAATAGTATCATACACTGTTTGCGTCGGGTTCTAACTAAAGACGCCAGAAGTACATATGGTCGGAAAGTCGGAAGTTTTATTAAAATTTAACATATTTGCCTGCCTCTTCCAGCCTTAAGACAGGGGAACTCACTAGCAGACAGGACGCGATTTCTACTTAGCTATGTATCAGGATACTTTACAAAAAAATCAACCATGTAACGATAACCAACATTTTTCTTAGCCAGATGTTAGGCTATTACCTTATAAACAATTGCTTCCTTTGAATTTGTAGTCAAAAGGACGCATGTCAGTATTATACGTTCCGTAAAAGTGGTATATATTTATAATTTTGCGAGTAATGTTATTTAATAAACCGATACGACGAAATATCGAAGGATCCTCAGTATTGCCATCACTTTTTTAACCTTGCAAAATACATATCTCGATACATATAGTCAACAAAAATGCATCAAATTCATGTCTTGGTCATTGTGATAATGTCTTTTTTCCAACGATCTAGGTGCAAGAATACGATTTTGACATGTTTTTGATCAAAACACATGTGGCCCCAAAAAAAGAATTTAATACGAGGGGTATTTCACTGGGGAATTTTGGTGTACACGTGCGGGGAATTACAGGGAATTGCAGAAGGAATTGTGGGAATTGAGAGGAATTAAGGGGAATGAGGGGAATTGAAGGGAATTGAAAGGCATTAGATGAATTAAAAAGGAATTGAGGGGGCATTGAATGGAATTGAGGATCGTGATCATGTGCCGCGCATGCCCAGTATCAATCAGCTGTTTAACGGTCGAAACTATAATGTAGCGTTAGTGCTAACAGTATGGACAGTGTTGAAATGTGCTTCTTGTAAATAGAATTATAAATTACAGTGTGTACTCTCGGATACTACAAAGGTGAGTTAATTGTGGTTAAATGATGAAATTGTGAAAGCGGCGTTTACTGAGAGCTTCTACGAGTTTCCCCATGACTATCCACGGTTCATTTAGACATATCGGTCCAGATGGCTGGGCCTGGATTGAATGGATAGAAAAGGAAACAAAAACAAATATTCCAGTATATTTAAAAAACTTATATACTAAAGAATTAAAATCAATTAATCTGAAAATGATCATGGAAGAAGGTTTAAATTGTGCCTACAGTGATATTCACGCAATAGGAATAAATATGGATAAAGATGTAGCGAATCATTTAGTTTAGATCAACCGGCTTTATGGCTCAGTGGTAGAGCGTTGGGCTATAAATCCGGAGGTAGGGTGTTCGAACCTGGGTTGAGGTGAATTTTTCATCTGTGGCGGAGATAGAAATTACCTTAGACAGGGCCGGTTCCACCCAACATGAGGCCCTAGGCGCTAGACGTTGATTGAGGCCCTTGATTTAGCGTTTTGGTCCATAAATTTAATCTCGAATTTAATCAATCGATTACCTAAGGGAAAATGCAAAACAACTATTTAAACTCTTATTAACTGTTTTTATTTTTAAACAAGTTTCTAACAAACAAAACATACATGATACAGTAACCGATGTGTATCACGCAGATTCTTAAAAATATAGAAATCCTACTAGAAAAAAGAAAAAGAACACATTAAAAATTCTTTTTTCTGGTTTTTTGTTTTGAAAAGATATCAATAATGTCATCGAAAGGTATGCTGCTTACCACATCCGATTCGATAAAAAGCATTGAAAGATTAGTAGTTTTATCTTGTAGCAAACTATTCCTTAAATAATTTTTGATCCTTTTCAAAACTGAAAAGGCACGCTCTCCAGAAGCATTACTAACCGGCAATGTCAAAAATATTTTTAAAATTGTTTCTACGTTTGGAAACGTGGATCTTAGACCATCGTTAATATGCTTGTACATAGCAAACGGATCCGTAATATTTTCTTCTTTCGCATAATTTAAAAAATGTAACATTTCCTCTTGAAAGTAATCGACATTAATATCATCTTTATATACCTCTTTTATTTTACTAATAGAAAGATTAACTTCTATATCTGTCAAGTTAGTATCAAAAAATATTTTAAAATTTTTTAAAATATCGGTATAAACTTGGCTCCTTCTGTCTAGTTCACTAATTATATTGTCACAAATAACATAAACCGTTTGTGTAATAAACTTTTTGCGACCTCTCAAAAATACTTCATTAGTTGATGTCTCGTCACTTTGCAATTTTCTTGTTTTTTGACGGACTCTTTCGTCATTAAACACACATGAGTCAGTCAACACCTTAGCTTCATCTTCAATTTGTATGAAATTATCCCGAACATCTATTATAAACTGCTTTAAAGATTTTAATAAGTTTTCGCCATTTAACAAATTAATTTTTGGATCTTGGAGTGCTTTACTTGTATAATTTAACCTCACTAATATTTTATACCATAAAGTTGTTAATAAGGCCGTTTCATATTTTTCAAAATGTTTGATTAACCCTTTTATTTCAGTGCGCGCTACAGGCTTTTCGTCTTCAGACTGATACATTTTCATTAAAGCTTGCTGTATTTCTTTGTAGCCCTTTTTAAGAGCCAATATAGCATCGGCCCTAGCTGACCATCTTGTATCGCACACTTTTTTTAGGGTTACACCATCTTTTGGGAGAATGTTCTTTAATACATTCCATCGGCGAGTTGACGCCGAAAAAAAAGTAAATAGATTTTGACAAAAAGAAAAAAAATTCACAGCATCAAAACAAGATTCTGCTGCGTTATTTCCCACTAAATTTAACGAATGGCTTGTACAAGGAACATAAAATGCAGTGGGGCTATGTTTTTTAATTCGGGACTGCAAGCCAGAGTACACCCCTGACATGTTTGCCGCATTATCATAACTTTGCCCCCTACATTTGGTAATATCTAGTGAAAACTCTTTAAAAGCACCTAAAATTACATTTTCCAAATGTTCTGCGTTATGTGCTTCTATGGGTATGAATCCCAAAAATCTTTCTTTTATCTCGCCGTGTTGGTTTAAATATCTGATGATTAAAACCAATTGATCTACGTGAGATATATCAGGTGTAGAATCTACGCTAAGTGAGAAATACATCGCGTTTCTAATGTCATCCAAGATTACGTCTAATGTTTTTTTAGCCATTAAATTAATAAATTCGTCACAGATACTATGGGATAGATAATTAACACTCCCTTTACCGCAATTTCCGTATTTTTCTAAATGCGATTTTAAAAAATTATCAAACTGACTCAAATATTCCAAACATGTCAAAAAGTTGCCTTTATTTTGGGACCCTACGGTGTCATTAGTGCCCCGAAATGCCAATCCAAGCGAACCCAACAGTTTAACTGTAGCAACGACTCTTTTTAAAACTTCTCGCCAATAATTTTCTTCAGACTTCAACTGTTTACACAGCTCAGCATCAATTCGGCCTGACGATAAACGTCGTTTATTGTAACAACACATAGATTTAACGTGCTCCTGGGAACGTTCGTGATCAGTTAATATTCTACAAATATTTTTCCAGTCATTGCACCCTACGATCATTTTGGAAGAAACACGTGAACGTGAAAAAAGTTTGCAAACAAAACAATACACCGATTTACTAGTGTCTGAAAATATCAACCACTCACGTTTTTCCTTAATCCCATTTGATTTGATGGTGTAAAAGTTTGACTCTTGAAAAGTTCTGGTATATACTTTTTCCTTATCGACGTAGGATGATTTTAAATTTTCAATTTTTCCAAAATTTTTAGGAACACTATCCAAGATTTCACCAATAAGTTTTTCTGAAATGTCTGTTGGCCACTTCGCAATATCCCCTAACTGGAGGCTAG